TCAGGGCTTGGGGTCAGGTTACTTAGGGCAGAGGTCCCCAACCTTTTGGGCACCAGGGACCGATTCTGTGGAGAGAGCTTTTTCTGCGGACTGGAAGGGCCGCAGTTTTGTGTGCTGCCTGCATCCTGCTTTGCTTGTTTGTGCGGACCAGTTGCTGGCATGCCGCAGCCCGGTACTGGTCCATGGACCAGGAGTTGGGGACCCCTGACTTAGGAAACAGTCTCTCCCAAGTGATAGCTAACCATCTTGTTAGATCTGGCAGGAGAGACATGATCCCAGGAGAGAGCTCCATCTAATGGAAGCCAGGAGAATTGCCTTTCCCCCTTTTCTGTATTGTGTTGGCCCTCTGGAATATCATCCTCCTGAGATTAGACTTGCCTTGACCCTGCTGGCCTTTTCCAAGGCATTAAAAATCTGGCTTCGCCATCTAGCTGGGGCCCTGGCAATGGAGGGAGGAGCAATTTTATGGCTGATTTGAACGTGGGATACTGAATGTCCTTGGCAGTTATTCTTTGTTTTATCCCCTTTTTATTTTGTTTAATTGCTAGCTGCCACGGGTCATGTATGTGAAATGGGCAGCCAAATAAATCAAAGCAAAGCAAAGCAATAAAGGCATACATATACACAGATACAGTAGTCCTTGACTTACAACCACTATTGAGCCCAAAATTTGTGTTGCTAAGCAAGATAGTTGTTAAGTGGGTTTTGCTCCATTTTACAATCTTTCTTGCAGCAGTTGCTAAATGAATCACGCAGTTGTTAAGTTAGTAACATGGTTATGAAATAAAGTTGGCTTCTTCATTAACGTTGTTTGTCAAAAGATCACAAAAGTGATCACATGACCCCCCAGGACAATGTAATTGTCACAAATACATGCCAATTGTGAAGCATCTGGATTTTGATCACGCAACTATGCAACAGTTGTATAAGTGTGAAAAGTCATGTCATTTTTTCAGTGCCGTTGTAACTTTGAATAGTCACTAAATGAATGGTTCTTAACTCGAGGACTACCTGTACACACACACACACACACATACACACACACACACACACCACTATATGCAAATAAAGCTGTTTTTGTTCTTAATCTCTGGTCAGTCTTACCAGAGAGTCAATAGGCTTGCAAAATTTCTATTGACAAACATTATTAGCTTAGCTCTTCCTAATGTCCTTCTCTTCTATATTGTCTGTAAAAAATATGCTTCCTGCTATTACTACTTGCTCCCATCATAACACAAGCCTTTTCTTTTCTTTTCTTTTCTTTTCTTTTTTTTTGGGGGGGGGGTAGATTTAAGCAGCAGGAAACTTACAGAAAGCTATACATTCTCTCTCTGAATCTCTCCAATCTCAGTTTACAAATGTATCTGCAGAACAGAATTTGCAAGATGAGTTAATTTCAGATAGAAGAAGCAGGGCAAACAGCCTTATGTGCAAGCAAGGCAATACACAACTAACCCTTGATTTAGCTCTGCATGGATCAGCTTTTGTGAGCCTAAATAATGCCTTAGGCTCATGGTCTCCCCTATTCTCTTCCAACAGGGTTAGAAGGCTTAACCGGGATTCAGTTTCAATTTTTATTATTCCAGGCTCATTGTTAGGAATGAATCATAATGATAGTTGAAGGCTAAGTATAATTGGTTTAAAAAAAATTACAAATCCTTGTTCGTATAACTAACTTGTTAAACAAACAAAAGTGTCTTAAGGCGGGGTCCCCAACACCCAGGCCACGGGACTGGAACTGGTCCGTGGCCTGTTAGGAACTGGGCATCACAGCTGGAGATGAGCAGTGGGCGAGCGAGTGAAACCAAAACCATCCCCCCTCCCCCTGGTCCATGGAAAAACTGTCTTCCAGAAACCGGTCCCTGGTGCCAAAAAGGTTGGGGACCGTTGTCTTAAAGTATAAAATTATTACCAATAGTTAGATGTAAGTAAGAATAATTATGAAGGACAGAAACTGTAGGCAGTGCTTGTATAATTTCTGCATAATCGAATAAAAATTGGACAAAGATAGGGTGCAATAGAAGTTGATTAGCTGAACCACTGCCACATCATAGTTTACATTAGTGAACAAGTATCTAAATGTATTCCCTGATTTCAATTAATCAGTTGTGAGCATTTTTCTCATTTTTCTTGCACAGATTGTGGATCAAAGTATTACTGCAAGGAACTGCCCTACAACAGTATTTTTCAATCTTGGCAACTTTAAGATGTATGGACTTCGGCACAGCTAGCTGGGGAATTCTGGGAGTTGAGGCCCAAACATTTTAAAACTGCCAAGGCTGAGAAACACTGCTCTATAATAGGATTGTGAAACAGACAAGGACCTCTTCAATTTTTCAGAAACTTTTTTTGTGTGTCTCAATGGTGCTTTTTCAAGAGGCAACTGCACTTTCTTGTTTTTCTTTGAAGACGTTTCGCTTCTCATCCAAGAAGCTTCTTCAGCTCTGACTGGATGGCGGAGAATGGATATTTCTGTTTTGTGGTACATTATTAACTGCCTATTTAAAAACAGCAAGTCTTTGAAAACCTAATTTTTCAATCTTGGGCAATTTTTCAACAGCTATTCCCAGATTATATTTCAATGAAAATGTGCATGTACGAAGCATAGAAGTACTTGAAAGCTCTATGTTGTAATGAAACTCCAATTCTGATCCCTGCTGATTTAACGAGTTTATGGACTGTGATAATATTTTATAATAAACGCTTTGTTCCTGTGAAAGCCCTTAACTCAATTGGGCCATCTGAAAAATTGCCTGCTGGAATCTGCACACTACAGTTGGATACAAGACACACTACAATATTTCTTCACATACTTTTACCCACACTGTGGCACACATATAGTACTATGAATCTGCACTGCCATAACTTGAAGAACATCCAAACATTGCACACGTTACTCATCTCCTCTGGCATGATATTCAGTTTTGGGTTAACTCTTTATTCTTCCTACTCTAACTCCCATCTCTGGAATGTTGCTTTTGCTACAGTACAAGAAAATGCCTTAATATTTTTTTCATAGTAATAAGACTGTTAATTAGAACCATTAGGTTTTGGAACCAGCAACATAATGCAATATATTTTAGATCTTCTATGAGGAATCCCTAGCATAACTTGGAAAGAAAGCCTTTGTAGCAGTTGAACTGCTATTCTTACTACTATCACACATATATTTTCACATGGTTTCTTAAGGTGCTGAGTATAGTTAGCTGAGATAATCTTAAACTATTTTTCCAATGCATGATAATAGCATATGTGGAAAACAATTTTTCTTGTACCTGCTTGCTTTCTGCTTGGCCACCAGGATTATTTCAGATACAAGGCTAATTTCTCGTGTCAACTGAATGCTCATTTCTACAAGTAACTGCTTTTGCTGGAGTAATATCTCGTTTATGAATTGGAAAAAAATGGAGTTTCCAGTTTAGCCTCTCTTGTTCCCCAACAACACTGAACTCCTTAAAGTCTCTTTGCTGCTCTTTTATTTTTGGGAAGATCCAATTCAGTTAAAATGTAATAAACTGGAAATATATGCTTCCTCTCTGACATGCATTCAAGAATATTTATAACAATTCTGTTATAAAATGTCTTTCACACATCAAGGTATATCTCCATTGCTTCTGCCTGACAGGTCAAAACATTCCCAAAATTATTTGGAGCAACTTGTGCAGCTGAAATACTCTGATTATTAGCATAATATTACTTAAAACTGAGCACCTTGGTTTCTGAAATTGGAAAGGGAATTTGGAATTCCTTCATTCAAGAGACTTACAAGGGAAGTTTCTATCCCACCCTCCCCAATACATGGTTTTCTTTGTCCCTAGCACATATTTTTCCAATCTGGATAATCTTCTCATGTACAGAAGTGTGAACTTCAATTCTTAAAATTCCTCAGCCAATATGGCCATTGTGGAGCATTCTGGGAATTGAAATCCATCTTCTGGGAGGATTCCAGTTTGAGGAAGTCTCCCACAGCCTTCCCACTCAGTATGCAAAAAGAGAGTAAGAAAGCTTAAACGTGACACGTGTTTTATCCTTATCTGGCAGCAGGGCCATTTCATGAGCTGAGTTCCATTTGGAACATTTTTGTTACTAGCTCTTCTCTGGAAAAGAAGCTTTTGTTAAGATTCACCACAATTTGTTTTTTATGAACTTGACAAACTGCTTAATCTTAACTATGATGAATTAATGAAACTGTCTTGTTAGGATTAGTTGTAATTTAGGGTTGGAACAGAACACTCAACTGCAGTAAATCAAAAGTGAAATCTAAACTACTTAATAGCTCTGCTGAAAAAGGACACATGTGTTCAAGTCCTATTCCCGCTATAATATTATAAAGCAAGATATAATATCTGAATGCAGTAACTTGCACTCTTAGATAACTATATATGAATGCCTGTGAGTGCTCTCCAGACAATTGTTGGTCTCACTCCATTATTTCAATATTCAATATGTCCTAAAACTATTTTGTCAATAGCATGTTTACATCACCAAATATCACTTCTTCATTTTCCAAACCTGCATAGTTTTGCTTCTAAATAAGACTATAAATTATATAAATAGCATAAATGTACAGTACATTCGTATTAATTTCCAGCCAGTATGAAATCCAGATACAATTATAACCAACACATCATAAAACTTTGAGAAACAGCAAAATAAAAACTCCAAAACCTTGGAATGTAATTTATTTATGTTACAACAATCATTCCAATTCTTGACTTTCAGAGTTATTGTACACTAAATCTGGTGAAAATTAAAACTACAGTGAATGAAGGCCATTCTTTGGTAAATCTGGTTTGGATGATGACCACACAAAATGCTATCCCCATGGTATATTGAACTGCTCTTCCAAAATAGCCTCTCTTCATATGGGAATAAGAAAATATTACTACTTATAACATTCAACATTTTTTACCAAAATCTTTCAGTTACAATGAACAAACTTACAAATTCACAAATAAATGGGCTGAATAATAAATAAATAAATCTTAAGCAATACTTACTGAAAATTATGGTTTGGACTGTGTGTTGGACCTGTGAATGAATGAATGAATAAATGAATAAATGAACAAACGAACGAACAAACAAACAAACAAACAAACAAAAAACAAACTACTACTAACTACTTGAACTACTTGAACATAACTATAAAGGCTTTTGACAAAAGTATGGAATTAGTTTGCTACTGTCATCTTTGGTAATTTTTTTCAACTTTCCAATTTATACTAACCAGTAAGACTTTTTATTTTATTTATTTCAATAAGAAAATTCAGTTTGAATGTGATTTTTTTTTTGTAATATAAGATCTATATAATGAATGCAGAGAATTTTGGATAAAATCACACAATTTATAAAGGCACCTCTCATAAAAATGTTTGGACAGATATTCCATCATATCCCAATCAGCACAGTCCAATATCTATCAAACTACTAGCAAAATATTTTTTAAACTATTGTCAGCTAGATATATTTTAGACACATTCTTACTGTGAAAATTATTCTTAGACTTGTAGAACTAGAAACAATATATATCAGTTAAATAAAAATCTCTAGCAGAACAGAGTCCTCTTTCCCCAATCTCTATGCATGCATATCGAATCTTTGAAGAATTCTCTGAAGCATAGAAAGCAGTAAAGAGACAACCCATTTAAAAGACATAGAAGGGAACTAATTAATGACAGACTTCCTGCATGCTGCTTTGTCCAGAAAGAGGCACAATCCCTTAGACAAGGAAATCTATCTGTGAGCTTTCCCAGAAGAGACAAATTGCTATAATCCATCTCTATTCTGTCTGACAGCAGCTAATCAGCATTTATCTGATTGACAAACTCAAAATGAGGTATTTCTGATTATTTTAGAGGTAAAGAATTGAACCCAGCACTTTTTGGATGCAGCGATTAAGTCCATCACTAAGTTCAACAAAACAACATTGTGGCTGCATAATGGTCCAAAGGCTACAGAATTATGTCCAAGAGTGAATTACTTAGTTTTTTCAGAGTATGCAACTTTTTCATCACAGGATCAAAGTTGTAAGTTCTAGATAGGAACTGGTACTTATTGGTCTGGGCACAAAAACATAACGATTTCAAACAATTCTATGAAAAATGAAATAACAAAAGATAATTTGTCTGTATCTTAGACTAAAATCATCTTTCACATTTCTGCAGTTATGTACACTTTACATTTGTTAATCATTCCATCTGTATATACTTTCTTTTATTACTATTATGGTATCAAATTCAGCACAGACATAATGAGAAGAAAGCCCCAGGCAAGGACTTTATTGATTTTCTTTCGTGTCACAAGTTATAAAGTGTAAGGAAATAAGGAAAAACAATATTTTTTCATTTTGTGATTGTGAAAACTAAAAGTTTATAAAGCAACAAAGCTCATTATAAAACCCACATTTTAAAATGAAGCTACTCACCTAGCCTTACAAAAAGAACTCCTGTTGCTGTTATTGTCTTCATCCCATTTGTGGCTACACACTGATAATAACCAGTATCGGTTGTGTCAAGATCTTGAATTCGTAATCGTGAGCCGTAGTCTGTTTTTCTTATAATGATCCTCCTTGGCTCTTGAACCACTGGTGCATCATTTTTTAACCACCTAACATTGGGTGATGGATTTCCTGCTACTTTGCAATGCAGAATTGCTGTCTGGCCCTGGACAATGGTGATATTGTTTACCGGTTCCAAAAAGGTCAAAAAATAACCTAAAAGGAATTAAACAGAAAGCAGAAGCGTTAAAAATTGAGCTGAGATAAGCAGATAATTATTTATGTGACTGCACTTAGTCTACTTTACCATTAGCCAAGCATAAATTGTACCATCTACAGTTACAAATTGAACACAGTAAGGATTATTTTAGCATCTTTTTCAGCTGGAAAAAAAGATGCAAAAATATTATGTCTGTTCAGGAAATGAATTAAAAAGAAATATTAGCTCATTGTGGATATCTTGATAAAACTACACTGAAATAAAACATGAGCCTGTGATTCAATATTCCTGTCCCCACAAGGGCAAAGCCTTTCTATGTAGGAGAAAAATTCATCCTCCAGCACAGCTGATAGCAAGGTATCAAATCACAATAATATAAAAACCCTATGAAATGTATAACTTGCAAGATGATTAAGGCAGAATGATCCTTTAAAATAAAATGAGGTATAACCCAGTTGTACTCTTTGTGAGAATTTACTATGTTCAGTTATAATTTTACATTAATAATCCTTTGTCTGAAAATCCAACATAACCTGAGGGGAAAATCCCATTATTTTTCATTTTTCTATTTGCTGTTTCCAGGAAAAATAGTTACTTATCAGAATAAAATGTATAAGACCTTGATAGCAAAAGTTAACATTTAGTCAATGTTTCAATGTATGTAACAATGGCCTTGACATTTTTATAACATCTACCTCCAGACAGAGGTAGGTTTGAGGATTATTGATATAATTTTCTTAGAAAGTTTGGATTATTGATATAATTTTCTTAGAAAGTTTGGTTTATACTCTATTTTGTAATTAATATCCAGCTTTTATTTAAGTCATTATAAGAATGTTGAGAATGTTATGAAAGAATAGAAAACCTGTGACCTGCTGGATCATCATTTTAGAGGTATTTCCTTACTGAAAAAAAGAAACAAAATTATCAAGGGTGGGCAAAAAATCAGTGGGAGTAGGAGCAACATCTATCATCCTTCTGGCTTCCCCACTGAGTTTCCTTGTGGGAAGCTGGCAGGGAGCATTAGAACATTTCCTTCCTTCCTTCCTTCCTTCCTTCCTTCCTTCCTTCCTTCCTTCCTTCCTTCCTTCCTTCCTTCTTTCCTCCCTCCCTCCCTCCCTCCCTCCCTTTCTCCCTGTTCCTTCCACTAAATCAAATATTTCACATTGAACTTTAACATTGTGGAGTATAACACAAATATAAATTATAAATAAATATATTTTCTTTATTCACACCATTCTGTTATGTATGCATTGCTGATGAGAAGCAATGCATACAAACCAGATTCTAGCCAAAAAGATGAGAAGTGAAACAATCTGATTATGTATGTTCATGAAATTAATTAAAAAGAGTTTTTAGATATTGCTACATATATAGCAAATATGCACTACAAAGAGCAAAACTAAACATTGTATGAAAAAATGTTTTAGCCCCAGGAAGGAAATTATTCTGATTCTGCTCTGGCCTTTCTGTAGCAGCTGTTTATCCATGCTGAATTAGATTAATTAGAATCATCAAATTAATATCACATTTAACTCATCCCAAAGAAACTGATGTTCCAGGGGCTCTCTTGATGTTTATTCACTTTTGGAAAACCAAAGAGAGACAGAACATTAATATGTAACATACCAAGAAATGTTTAAAAATGTTGCATGTTTAAATGAATAATTAGAGTAATAATTGATGCTCAGTAATAGTTGATGTGATACTTTTGAGATAAACTTATGGTAGGTAAAGACTTCCCTGGGACAGTCTGTTTGGTGTAGTGGCTAAGACCCCAGGCTAGAAATTGGGAGACTGTAAGTTTTAGGCATGAAACCTGGTGAGTGATCTTGGGCCAGTCACTTTCTCTCAGCCCTTGGAAAAAGGCAAGAGCATTTTACAAAATGTATGTAAACCAAAATAGCATAATAGATATACTAATACATACTAAAAGCTTCAGATCTAAATGCAAGTTTGCATTGACAAACAGTTGGCTCAGATGAGATTTGCAGTGTATCATATTATCTAAAAAGCAACTCCTTAAATAGTGGAGGAACATATTTAGTTAAATTTTGGCAATATTTTGGATTATCTCAGGTATGATGCTAAACAAATCAAGGCTGGCCTTCGTATTACAGAATTTCTTATTTTGTACTATTATAATACAAAATATATAACAATTTCTGTAAAAAAGTAATTCAGAATATGAATTAACAGACAAGGTAATTTTATTATTTAAATATATACAGAGAAATAATACATTGATGTTACATTTTATATTTGAATTGAAATAACACAAAATATTATTAAACATAACTTATACGTCTCTGGAAAATTAAATTTTGGTCAGAAGTGACCATCAAGTATAGTTATGATATATCAGCTCTCAGTTTGACTATGAACTTTTTGATTGGCCGAAATCCAAAGAGCTATTCTACAAGCATTTCAAAGTCCAAAGATATTAGATTCATTATTTCTTTAAGGACAGACAATCTCATTCTCCATTTCCATACCTAAATGTATTTTGAAATCCCTTGAGCTTTCTTATGTAGCATGAGAAAGGGCTGCCTTTTGTTGGGGTATGCAGAACTAGTTAGGCAATTTTTGGAAAAGGGTTAACTTTAATTCAATACTTCAATTGGCTTCATAAATCCTTTGACCAACAACATTCCTTTTCTTTTCTAGTATAATCCACATCTGATTATTCTTTAATATACGTGTATATATAATCTATAATTAATTTCTCTGTATCAAACTTAGTCTTTTTTCTTTCTCTACAGCAGAATCATGATTATATGTCAGTCTACTGCATATGCCTGAATTAGTGGGGTGCAGGCAATATTAATTTGAAAAGCTGTCTCTAGATGAGTGATCCTAGCTTGCACAAATGAGCAGAGTACAACTGGGCTTTGGTTACACTTGCGGCATAATGATCAAGCTGCCAAAACTAAGCCTGTATGACTAGATTGGAAACTTTCTGAATGAATGATGTTTGATGTATTTTTTTTGTTATTTTCCTTTCCTGTTTTTATTTAATGCTTTTCTTATTCTACTATTTACATATTATTGCTTGCCTTAAAAGGAAGTAATATGGCAAATGCAATGTGTATGCATGCTGAATAGGCACATGGCAGTTGTTATGCCAACAGGTGACTTTATATCCAGCAATATCCCAACAGTGGATGAAACAAAAGAAGTTTCATATGTTTTGAGTTGTGTAAAGTCAGTTTTATACCTGCAGATGAAAAAGAAGACAAGGCAGAATCTACAGACATAACTATCTATCACATACTGACATGTGATTTAAAAGATGAATTGTATAGTGCAGGTTTTCCGATTCTGGTGCTTTCAAAATGAGTCAGGGCTTCAATTCCCAAAATTTCATCCAGAATACTAGAAATTACAATTCTAACATAGTTGGGGGGGGGAGAGACACCAAGTTGAATGGTGAAGTACTTGCTGAAATTCCAGACATTCTCATGCTGTTTTGACACTACTTATATTAACTCCTGAAGAAAAGGGTGTGTCCCAAATACACAATGCCCATTAATTTTAAGCAAGTTTAAACAACTTGTAGCTTTCCATGCCAAATACAATATGCCATCCAACTATGATGGACTCTGAGAGGGATAACTTGCTCATAACTTTTATGGAATTGCAAAAAAATATGACCATAATAGCATCACACAAATGATTGCCATCTGCATGCTTCGCAACCAGCTTCTGACAGGCAGTCAATGGCGAAGTCGGCAGTAAAACTGAAAGTCATGTTATGTCTCACTTAACTGTGGGTGATTCATTTAACAATCACAGTGTGAGTGATAAGTTCAGTGCAGACATGTGGTGCTTTGCTTAACAACTGTGCTGCTTAGCGATGGAGTTGCTGAACCCAATTGTGGTCATTAAGCAAGAACTAACTACACATTTTAGTCCTTTCATTCGTAATTACAGCATCACCTTCACTTCTCTGCATGTATTGGTCAATTCCACTAGGCAAGATCAGACCACCTTCACTTAGATCTATTACATCATTTCCCTTTCTATCTGGGCAGGTATGCCGATGTATATATTCACACTCAGACACAATGGTTCCTCCACGACAAAACTTAATTTCACAGTCTGCTGCATTCAGTTTCAGTTTTCTTCCTCTTTTGGTGTTGTTCCTGTTACAAATTTGACATATTGTTCTTGTATTTATAGTTTGTTTACCTATTTAAAGAGGTACTTAAGAGAAAGCAGACTATAAAACTCACGAAGGAGTATAAATTACAGCAGGTGCCCAAATATGAATCTAATCTAACTCTCAGATTCAACACATGGAATGCATTGAATTAACAGTTATGCATTGGAAGCAAACAAGTTGGACAACAAGATAATGTATTCCAAAACAAGAGATCTTTACCAGAATTTCTAAATAAATATTGAGCTTCACGAATAACAAGAGATCTTTACTAGAATTTCTAAATAAATACTGAGCTGTATGAATAATAACCTCAAATTATGTGCTTCAATATTTTAGATACATTACACATTACTCTAAAGTGTTCAGATTTTTGGCAGGTTGATTTTAAACTGGGTCAATGCATATTATGTTATTCTAAGAGAGCAAGTTGGCTGGCGTATAGCCAAGCATAATTTCCACAGAACAACATTCCAAATTGTAGTATGTGCTCAAAATAGCTTATAAAGAGAAGGGCTGAGTTCAGTTCTGAGATGCTAGAACAATGTCAATACATGTCAGAGATAGTGTAGGAACACAACGTTCAAACATTTCAAATTCCAGATAATAGAAAATAAGTATGCAGATACTACTGTAGATATTCTAGTATAATTCACGGCTCTATTTTGAAGTTATTTTATTCCTTCATATAAAATAACCCAAACACTAGAACATTTAAGTATGACTCACTGCCAAAAACATAAATATTCCCAGGGATTTCGATAGTAGCTGATTTGTACGAAGATTATCAACTAATAAAATATTTCTTGATTAGTGACATGGGAAAATTCCAGTGCCATATTTACACTGGAATATCTGATCTGGGTGACTGAACAGAGTAAGAGGAACTTTTCTTGAAAGACACAATGCAATGTAACTGAAGTTGCCATTGTTCTAGAGACAGCCATGATAAATTATTAGTCAATTGCCAATAATTGCCAGGAAGAGCAGCAAACTCTGATGGTCTTTTATTAAGAAAAGTGCTACTTCGTGTTTCTGAGGTCTCTTTATAAAATACTAGATTGGATGAAACAAACTAAGTTAGAAACATCTTTAAAACTAAAAGGCATACTTTATAACAATGTTCAACCAACTTATAGCTAATGTTCTTCAGAGCCAACATTATCCTAATCAATAAGTTATCCTGGATGCAAAAAAAAATATTTTCCCCCAATTTCCAGGATTTGCTTCTTTTGTTGATGGCAGTGCCAACAACCCTTCCACCCATCCCAAAACACTCAACCCTTGAAGTCACTTGACATGCCACGGGGGGGGATATCTTGTTTTACTTTCTACAACAGAGATAACTGCTTCTCCCTTTGCACAAAAAGTGGGAAAGACAAGAATACATAAGGAAAATTATTGCTTTAATTCTTCCCAGAGGAAGATATGCATTTTTATTAACTATATTTTGGAAAATAAAACCATAGAGAAACAAACCTCATTTAGGACTTTGCCTAGGATGGAGTTTGAGTATTCATATTCAATGACCAAAATAATAAATATCTTGAAAGACATTTCTTTCAATGGAAAGACAATAGCTTTATCTGATATGCTGTTCTTTTATGAATGCACAGCAATTTTCAGTTACAGTGGTACCTCGATACTCATTGTTAATTGGTTCTGGGAGGTATGATGAATACCAAACAAATTTTTCCCATAAAGAATAATATAGTGAGTCACACAAGGAAGCCAACATCAACAAATTCTAGCTTGTGTGTTGAGTACCAAACAAACAATGAGTACCAGGGCAAAATTTTCACATCAAAATGTGGTATCAAATTTGATGACTTTCAAAGCAGTTGAGTACCAAGGTACCACTGTATGATAAACTGGTTATGGCATCAAGTTTGCACTAGTTCTTAGCAGTCACATAAATAGATCTTCTCAAGGTATATCATTTTTATAATAAACAGATCATATAAATATATAAATAAATAGTAATAGTAGCTCATAAAAATAAAACATTCAGATTTTATACTTAGACAAAGTTATAGTCATAAAAAATGAAATTATTTCTAATACCTTTGTGTGTTGGAACGGGTCTGACATGTCCATCCATTTGGCCTAAAGTATCATCAGAATCTGGGAGCTGTACTTCCCCTGTATAAGACAATGAAAATAATATAAGGCATTTAACACAAAACTGACTTCAGATAGCAAACTGGGTTTTCTAAAAAATTCTGAATCCTGTGCTAATTATTATGAATTCAGTTATCATATTTATTTCAAAATCAAATAATCTGCACAAATATTTGGGCTCATTTTATCAAAAAACTATGTAGACTATTTTATGAGGTTTGGACAGTACATTTAACGTTAACGGAAAGCTTTTGTGGAAAAAAATTGTTTTTAGAGGAATATTTTTATATTTTTATAAATACAATTTTTAGAACAATTATTTAAACATCAAAGAACATTGAAACTAAAGTGCTGAAGTGGAAAATGCTGAGTCGGGTAAATTTTCTAGCCCACATATATGATGTTCAGATCATATATGGTAATCACACGATTGCAGGTAATTGGTAACTAACTGTAATTGTGAACAGGTTGCCAAGTACCCAGGTTGCAATCATGTGATCCCAGAAAAGAGGTGACATTTATGACGGAATGAAATGCTTTATAAACCATAAAACTCTGACTCTATGTTATAACTTTGAATATTCATTAAACGACCAGTCATAAGTTGAGTAGTACCTCACATTTAACATTTCATATTGCTGCCACAGCATGATTGCCATTTGAAACAAATTATTGGTACAATCAACAATAATCTTAGTTTTTGGAAGTATTTCCACCAAAATATTGGTTTAGTTCAGAACTAAGCCAATCAAACTAATCTAATCAAGCTCCAATCCATTATCCCTCTAATAAGCATTCCACAAATCTTAGTGATAAGAATAGTGTTGAAACCAAAGTTATGTAATTTTAGTTTATAGAAACAGCCAATTCTATCATGTTTTTCCTTCTTGTGAATTTCTTCTTCTAATAAAGAAAGGAATATTAAAAATATTCTGAAGGAGAAAAGGCAAAACTACATATTAGTGAAATGTGTGAAGGTTGCAAATGGCAATCGCATGATCGCAGGACACTGTGAACATTGTAAATTTGCACCAGTTGCCAAGTACCCAAATCCTAACCATGGGATAATGCAATTGGGTGCAACTTGAAGGATAGATCATAAGTCTCTATTTTCAGCATCATCACAAGTTTGAGCACTCACTCAAAGAGTGGTTGGTAAATGAAGAGTACCTGTATAAGCACTGAGCTCTTCTTCGCTCTTACTAAACAATCGTTTTGGAAAACAAAAGCACAGCAGAAAAAAATATAAATGTTATGTATATGTGCATACAAGTACAAACTCTCAGCATTCCAAAGTGCTTATGTTTTTATGTTAGACGATACTGAAAATTGTTTCACTGGTATAGGAGTACAATGAAATGCTTGTTCCGTCTGCATCCATCCAAACTTTACAGTCTAAATATTAATGTTGTTTGTCTTTATATTCCTTTCTGCACACTGGGATTGGAAAAGGAGAAAAAAACCCTGCATTTGTATGATCATACTCAATTTTGTCTTTTCCAACATTTGTAGATTCAAAGCACAATGCCTTGTGTTTTGCTGCGTGAATCTCTAATTTAACTTTTAAAACTTTGTTTTGAATCAGTAGTTTATATTTTAGAATTCTTAATAAACTCTTTAGCCAAAAAAAGGGTGGGGGAGACAGCTTAGATAGTGGTTTACAAATTCAATGATTAGATAGTACCATGCTCATTTTAAATGACCTGATACATAACCACATCAACCATTGTGTGCTTTCTGCTGTACAAGTCCCAATGGACATTAACACACACACACACACACACACACACACAAACCCCTATTTATTTATTTATTTTTAAATAAAGTTTTATTAATTTTGAGCAACTAAGGTCCTTGCTGCTGTTATACAGTACATCAATTTCATTTCTTTTTGATCCAAATTATCCATAATACCCAATAAAAATAACTGCGGTGTAAATTTTATCTTTTTCTTAAAGATCTGTTGAATATTCCACCAAATCTTAATCCAATGTAAATTCACTTTTGATTCAATTAATCAGTCAGTTTTTATCACAAATCAAGGCTTCTCTATGCAAAATCAACAAGTAGCAGCCTTATTCAAGCCATATTCCCTTTATATAAGCAGTGCAAGATGTAAAAATATGATTGATGTCACTAATCTATTTCCTTATATTCTGAGTGACCAGGATATTTCATAAGGTTTTATAAGAGATTTTCTGTGTCTTGTTGTCATTGTCATCAGAATTCCTGCAACCCGGATTCCGGTAACCCTATTCCAACTATATTTTTAATCTATCATTTCATTTACAGCACCTATTTTAATAGGTACCTAAGAGAAAATACAAGAAAAAAACCATGTACAACTCCAACTATTACATACAGAGGCCAATGATTCTTTTGCTAAGAATCTACATAACAAGAATTAATAATTGACAACATAACCATGGAATTGTGCACTTTCCTTAGTAGTTAAAATGCTGCTTGCAAAAGGTTTTTACTCATAAAAGCAACAACTAGATCTCTAAACAATTCAAATATTCATATTACTCTATAAAAAGAAGGAAAGAATATCCCTTTACTAAAAGCACAATAGACTTTCATGACCGGGTGCCTTCCAATTGTGTCCATTTTGATTTCCAAAGCTCCCCTAAAAGCATATCCCTACGGAGAATATGGAGGCTGGAGGACACCAAGGCTGGGAAAAGCTAGATTATAGACTTGGCAAAATTAATCAGAATCAAGGAACAAGAAGGGCATGGAAAATTAAGTGTTATTTGTCCAGCTGTCGATTTTGATATAATATTTATAAAATGCAAACATCTAAAATTAAGGATTAAAATGTGTAATTATTTCTTATCAGAACATACTAACTTTAGGACATTGCAAAAACATGCCCTAATGAAGCATTATTCTCACTGCATCTTCAACAATGCAATGATTTACTCATTACTCTTTTCATACAAGTAAATTAGAACACCACCAGGTGCAAAGACTTCTTAGTATGGGTGATATAAAAGCTACCTTATTAGTAACTGAGATTTTAGCCTTAAATTGTCTTTTAGCCTTAAACTGTCTAGCATACTTGTTAGAATATTGCCAAACATTTAAATACTATATAAATTGACTTGAATGCTAGTCTGCAAGAACCGAACTGAAAGAATTGAACACAGCATTCAACTGCACAAATGCTATTATGGAATTTGGTATCCAGAAGTCAATAAATCTCTTTGAAAATTGGTACAAGAAAAGATTCCTCAAACCAAAAGGATCGATACATTAAGCCATCAAAGTATCCCAAACACAATTGACTGATAATTTCTGTTTCAGACCTTTATCTGAAAGATAGCACTGTGGGATAAGACCATTCTCTCCCTTCATTGGCTGATTTATACAATGGCCATAAAGTCTATACATAGACAGGTATGCAAAGTGAACTCTTGACCTAGGCAACTGAAAAGGGTGTATAGCCAAATTCTACAGGGCTGTAACACTTTAGCACTACACTCTTCATTGCTGCAGTTAGTTTAAACAAAACATACATTACTTGTTTAAATGGATCTTCTCACAAGTGAAGAAGTGGTTATGTATGCCAACATGCTTCTCTCTACTTTGTTGTGTAGAAACAAGAATTGAATATATTATGCAAAAGCACATTGAATGCAGTGGAGATAGAGTAAAGAAATGTTTAGAAACAAAACAAAAAAAGAAATGATGGCAAGAATGAAAATGCTGAATTAATGCAAATTAAATAAATGTCAGTGATCAATAAAACAACAGTGTATAGTTTGGTCATTCAAAGGAAATGAATGTAGACAGGATTGCAAAACAAATATTGAAGGAAGGAGGAACAAATCAAGAGCAAGGCCGAAAATTATATTGTTGCATGGGGTAAATCACATTATCAAAAAGAGAAAAATGAGAAATTTAAACAACTAAAGTTAATATAAGAAATGACATGTAGATGTGGAAGAAGCAAAGATGATTTACAAGAATAGAAAGGTTTGGGAGATTCAGTGGATGGTGTAGACTAATTTTAACTATATTTATCTAATCTTATGTCTTGGATTCATTTTTCTTATTAATTTGCATTCCTTCTGTTTCGGAAGAAAAATTGTCTTCCATGGATGGGGGGAGGAGAGGGGGATGGTTTCATATGCAACTTAGATCCTCTGCATGAGCTTCTCTGAAAGGCTTGTCACAGTTTTTCCCATCCTTCTGAGCATGTGTGTGCCTCCACAGAAGATACTGCTCCAGACTGCTACTAAACTGAAGGTTCAAGAGATGAGAACTGAAGTGGTTTGCAGAGCTCAAATATTCTGACCTCTTCTGATCAGGTCTTCATGAAATAAACTGAAGAAATTGGGCTGTTCCTACAGTTTTGATCCCTCTGGAAAGGTGTTTCAACTGATTTTGAGGAAGACGTTTAACAATTTCAACAACAACAACAACAACAACAACAACTAGATTTCTCCAAAACAGTCTTAACTAACTGGAAAATAGCAGATGGCTGAATTATTTCTTACTGTCCTGCAGATTAGGAAAAAAAAAGTTTTCTTTTTTCTTTGTAATTATTTATATAATAATTTAATTAAATTATTTATTAGTGCTTAATAAATAATGGGAAAGGGTATTTTATTATTTTTCCACAGATCACATCTCAGTATTTTAAACAGAAATGATAATCTGGTTAAAAGTATAATATTCTGAGTCATTTCCAGGACCAGACTCTTGTAGTTTTAAGCCCTTATTTATTTTGCGAGTATTAAATATACCGTCTAGATAACAATTACACCCATCTATTTGTAGACGCCACATCTGTTGCTAATCTTTTGTTTAGGAAAAAGATAGTTTAAAAATGGAAGCTAATGGATGAGGATCAGCATTAAACTACACAGTGAAACATACACTTTCTTGCCAACAGATGGTAATTGTCAATAAAACATTATACCAAATAAAAATATTTCCTGAAAATAAGAAGACATTCCAAAAACTATTTCACAGCTCGAACTGTAAATAACACTGCCTAAATACACTCAAAAACAGTACTGAACACACCTGCAGCTCAAAGTGTACCCAGCAACACAAT